TTCCCGCACTCGCTGCACTGGTAGGGTTTCTCCTCAGTGTGGATGAGCTGGTGTCTCAGGAGGATGGAGCTCTGCTTGAAGGCCTTGCCACACTCGGTGCACTGGTAGGGCTTGGCCCCCGTGTGGATGACCTGGTGCCTGAGCAGCAGCGAGTTGTACTTGAACGCCTTGCCGCAAGCACACCTGTACACTCTGTCCCCAGCAGCCTCTGCAGGGCCCAAGCCTGGCTGTTTTGCCTCCAGGGTCCCCAGGGACGTGCTAAGTTCCCCACCAAGGCCGCCTGCCTGGGGGTCGAGTTGTCCTTTATCTGACCCATCTTTAGGACGGCCATTCCTCTCCTCAGGGAGGCGCCCCCAAACTGTGCCCAACAGTCCTAACTGCTTAGAAGACACTCTCCCTGGAGAAGACTCCTTGACCCCGGCCTCCATCCTAGAATCTGGAAGAATGAACAGAAAATGGAAAGGTGACCTCGCCTCTACGTTCACCAGAGGAACTCTGATTTGAAGACAGAATCCTCATGTCAAAGTGGTAGAGAGGTTTGGAAACTTCTTGCAAGAAAGAAACTGTAAAATCAGGGTTGGTATAAGAGGATCCAAAGGAAGGTTCATTAAGGGCTTAAGCACTGTGGGAGGTTAGCTCAAGAGGGGAACTCATGACCAGGGAGGGGCATCAGGAGGACAGGGGAGGGCACAGCTTGGCCCAAAGTACGGGGGCAGAGGTTGGGGGGTAGGGAGCAGGCCTGATGCAGGAGTGGGACCTGCAGGGTGTGGGGTACTGCTATCCTTTGCTCACCTCTTCCTCCCAGCACTCACTCACAGGTCATCCACTCAGTAGACAGGTCAGAGTCCTGCCCATACAGGCCCCATGGACTGCAGGCCACCTTTCCTCCCTTTCTGCAGCCTCTGCAGTCCCAAACTCAGGCCTTGGCATGTGACCCACGGGGAGCTGGAAGGATCAAAGCAGCTCAAGGGTCTTCCCTGCTGGGTCTTCCTCACACACCCACTGCCCCCACAGATCTGGCCCGACACCTCGGGGCACCAGGAAGGATGTTCATGCACTTGGGTTTCTTGTACAAGTTAGCCCTGGGTGACCTTGGATGACAAGCAAGGTGTTTAGTAAGAAATTTGGCCACGCTGTGAGGAACTAAACGTACAGCCTTCCAAGCACCAGGGGGCTACAAGGAGCTGTGTGAAGGCCAGGCCTTGCTGTGCCTTGCACTTACCTGGGCACAGGTTGGCCACAGTCCCTTGCTCCTCAGCCACCTGCAGAATCAAAGCCCCTGGCTCCTCCCCTTGTTCCAAGAGGGAGATCAGCGCTGGTTTGGCAACGACAAAGCCTACATGCAGGGAGGAGAGCAGCACGTGTCAGGGAGCAGGAGGAAGGGTGTCTGGCTGCCTGGCTGGAGGCCTCAGAGGACACACACTTGGGGTGGGTTGGAACACCTACTTTCCCAGGAGCAGGGCAACTGGGTGGCCATGGAGAGATGAGGGGGAACCCCTCCAACTTCCCCTCTGAACATGTTAGGCTTTGAATTTGGAAAGGAACCAACTCCCCCAGGAGGCCGGTGGAAGAAGCAGGGTTGTGTCTGAGCCCAGCCCCAGGATGGAAGGGGAAGCCTCACCCAGTGAGGCCACGTGCCCGTAGTTCTCCAGCATCACGTCCCTGTACAGTGCCCGCTGGTCGGGGGCCAGGCAACTCCACTCTATTCTCGTGAAGTACACGGCCACGTCCTCAAACACAACGGCCTCCTGCAACCACAAACTCTGCTGTCTGGGGCTATCTGGGCAGGAGATGCGGAGACCATGTCAGGGATATTTAGGATGCCTGTTCAGCTCTGGGAAGTCAAGGCTTCTGTATGGTCACTGCTGCATTCCTAAGGCCTGGCATGGGGGGGAGGGGGTACACCTCAACACTCTCCAAGGAAAAGTGGAACAGCCCTATTGCCAAAGCCACGGGAGAAGTGAGGGTCTCAACCTTGGCCTGGGTAGGGGCACCCTCGAGATGCTGGTGGCCGAGCCTCCACACTGGTGGGGAGAGTTCCTGTCCTGTTCTCTGGTTCTCTGCTCTTAGTGGAGAAGCCAAAGGCTGTGTGCACCAAGAAGGTCTGACCATTCACACCAGATGGAGGCAGGTGCTGGGGAGGGACAGGGCCCCTGACCTTGCTTGCTGACCCTTGAAGCTCAGGGGCTTCAGGAGACTGTGGGCAGCCTACTTCTGCCCAAAGCCTCAGGAAGGAGTTGACAGAGCCATTGTGAGTCTTCGAAGGGAGGAGGCTGACCCTTGGCTTACAGAATCCATCCCTGTGACCCACCTGCAGGAGTGGGAGCTACATGGGTGGGCCTGGGGCCCCCTGGGAAGGTCCTGAGGGCTGAAAAGCTGAGGATGGGGATGAAGGCAGCCTAAAGGCTCAGAGGGGACACTCACCTGGAGTCTGGGCGTCGCAAGTGGCACCGCCATTCCAAGGTCCCCTTCAGGGGAAAGGCAGGCGCTGGGGACGGTGAGTGTTGAGTAGGAAGAGCCCAGGCCTAAGGCCCATCCACCCCTGTCCCTGTCTCCCAGAAGGACCACCCAGATACAGAAGAGACAGGAAAGCGTGAGACATGAGGCAAGCACATCCCGGTCAGCCCAGACGACCCCTCACATCCCAAGAAGCCACAACCTGAGACCTGCTCACCCACAGGCCTCCACCTCTCACTCCTGGTTTTCCCAGGGATGTCTTCTGGGACCATCCTACTTCAAATGATATTCCCGGGTGTCTGGATAGCTCACTCAGGTAAGAGTGTGACTCTTGATTTCCACTCAGGTCACGAGCTCACAGTTTGTGAGTTCAAGCCCTGAGTCAGGCTCCATACTGACAGACTGGAGCCTGCTTGGGGTTCTCTCTCTCCCACCCCCCCCCCACCTTTCCCTCACATATATGTGTGCTCTCTCTCAAAATAAATAAACTTAAATAAATAAATAAAATGCCATCCCCACCGCAGAATTCCTTCCCTATCCTCATTGCGTTTTATTTTCATCCATAGCACCTGTTATCGGACATAATGCAGTCAACTTACTTGCTTCTTATCCACCTTCCCCCATGAGATGAGGCCTGCAGTCTGGTTATTCATGCTGTACCCCCAGGGCCTGGGGGAGGGCCTGATACACAGCAAGGATTTGTGGAATGAATGAGTGGTTCCCTGACAGTGGGTGATTCTGCAACCAGTAAAACCATGTTGTGGAACACCAGAAAACATTGTTACCGCATTACCACGTATTACCACGTGAAATAAGCAGACTCTAAGCAAAAAAATAAATCTGGCAGCACATACCCCAGCACATTAGCCTTAGTTTCTTCCAAGGTAGTTTTTATTTTCCTTCTTCTCATTTTTCTGATTTCTCTAAGACTTATTGCTTCTTTTCAAATATGTGTCGCAGTTGAGGAAAAAGTATTTATAAAAGCCAGTAAATACAATCTGCTCTGGCTAGGTGCTCAGAGTAGACTCTGGTCTCCGTGTCCCCTCCTCAGTGGACACTTGAGCTCCTGTGTATTGGGTGGAAGTATCCAGAGTACCCTTTTCTGTGGGGCTTGAGCCTCCCAAGTAGCTGCCGCTTTGTAAAGCGATGTCCCTTTTGGCAACAGCAGAAATCCTGCGGTTATGATGCTACGAGGTAACATCTGGCAGGAAGGCCCTTTTAACATGTGAGAGTATAACAGGCTACAGAGGATGATCTGAGAGGCTTGGTGAGTCATCTGTGCCCGCACAGCACAAACGGCAAATGCAAAGAGCAGAGCCACACCACTACTAGACACAGCACTGGGCTGTCTGTCCAGGGCAGTCTGCGTGGACCATTGCTGCTGCCCCTGTTGACAGAGCTATTGTCCTCCTCACCCCGACAAGACAGCCACAGCATCTTAAGAGGAGGAGCATCTCAGGAGAAGACCTGGCTGTCAACTCAACACATACCACTCTCCACAGTTAGGAGGGTAAGTTACCATGCCTGTCTCTTTGCTCATTTCTGGGGAATGCATGTCCTCAGGGAGGGGCCACCTGGTTAGAGGGGAAAAGACCTGATTTTAGTCCTATCTTTGGAGCCAGGGAATAAGTCTTTCATGTGAGAAAAACAGCGCTAAGTTGAAAAAAGTGGAGGAGAGGATACAATGATAACAAAACAGGTTCCTGCTCGGAGTCCTGAGACAGAAAATATCAAGGGGAAGGGGAGCGCTAACTTAGATGGGGGTTCAGGGAGGGCTTCTTGAGGGGATTACATTTAATTGGGGCCTGGAGGACCAGCAGGAGTCATTCTTTCCCTCCAATTTTGAATAAAACCTCTGTTCCTCAGGGGACTGGGGCACCTTGCTCCACTCCCTCACCTACCCCCTTGCGTACTACACTGCAGCCAAGCTGGCGTTCTCTGTTACTCAAATTAGCCAATGCCATTCTGATGCACTTTCCTTTGCCTACAAGGGCTTAGCAAGGCCTGTCAGCCACCAGGTTTCAGTTCAAATGTTAACTTCTTGCAGAGACCTTCCCTGCTCACCTACAGCCACCCCTAACTCCTTAACTCTCACAAACCTATCCTCTTGGTTCATTTTCTTCATAGCCCTTAAAATCATCAAAAACTATTTTCTCAGAGCACCTGGGTGGCTCGGTTAAGCATCCGTCTCTTGATTTCAGCTCAGGTCAAGATCTCACGGTGGTGGGATTGAACACAACTGGGCATGGAGCTGGCTTAATTAAGATGCTCTTTCTCTGCCCCTCCCTCGCTCGATTACACTCTCTCTCAAAAAAAACTACTTTCTTGTTTGTTGCCTCTATTGCATTAATGCCTCACTTCTATTACAACAGATGTTTCATGAAGTCAGGGATGTTACCCCTTCACTGCAGTATCCCCAGCACTAGAAGGGTCGTCAGGACAAGGTAAGTATGCCAGTTGTCCGAATGCTAGTTGTCCAATGAATGAGGCAACTCCGCGAAGAGGGGGCGGGGGCGAAGAACCGCACAGGGTAAAGCAAGGGCGTCGGGCTGACAATTGGTTGGAAAACGAGGGTGCAGGGGAGAGGCAGCGCACGGGGTGGCCAGCCGGCACGAGCTGCTCACGAGCGGGTGTGCTCAGGCAACTGCAGGCGCGAGGCCGAGGGGGACGCAACCCGGACAGAACCGGTCCTCCCAGGTCTCCCACCACTGCAGCCTCAGCTCTGCGCAGCCACCCAGGCTCTGCGGGACCGGCCCGCACACTTGCCGCGCCAGCCGGTGGGAACCGGACTCCGGACCCTCCCTAAGGCCCAGAACGAAGGAAAAGCGAGAGGGCGGCGCCGGCTGCAGGTCAGCGCCCCGCGGTGCTCAGCGCGGCCTCTGTGCGGACCACAGCCTCAGCCAGGCCGGGTTCAGAGAACCGCACTCACCCCACTCCGGTCCCCGCCCCGCGGCCAGGACCTACTCACCCTGGGCCGCTATCCCGGACCGCGCGCAGAGGGCGCCGGGAGCAGGCGGTCCGGTTCCGGCCCGCCCCCGGAAACGGGTCTCAGCGCCGCTCTAGGAAGCTCGGAGGACCACGCGCCTCTGTGGGCGCCTTTTGGCTCCTACGGCGCGAGGCTGGTGATGGAAGAGGGCCGCTGAGGGCGGGGCGCTGTTCTGGACCTGATCTCCCGTGAACTCCCAAATCCGAGGGGCGAGCCCGCTGCGGGAGTCGGGGATCCCGGCGCAGAGCCCCCAAGCCTGAGAGCAGACGCGTCCACGCGAGACCTCGAGAAAGGCCAATGGAAAAGTCGAGCATCATTCCAGGCAACCGGGTGCTGAGGCAGCGTCCTTTCTCTTTCAATTTTTTGTTGTTGGATAATTATAAAATCATGCAAGTTGCAAAGGCAGTACGGAGAGGTCCTGTGTATCCTTCACCCTCTTCCCCTACAGTTGAAAAAGCTTCTCTACGATCGTGTCTTTCAAACTTTTGTGACACGGTAAAAAATGCTTTACAGTGTGACCCAGCACACGCACAAATCTATGCTTATGAATAAATGCTTACACATATAGTAATTTTAAAAGAACTTAAAACTATTTAGTCTTATGCGATGAAATCTCGTATATTTTTCTTTAAATGTTTTCTTATTTTTATAAAGGGGAGGGGGGACAAAAGCAGAGACCACCTTTTTGAAGAGGGACACAAGAGCCAAAATGTACAAGGCAGCAAAGGAGGCATCTATATTTTATTTATTTTTATTTTTTTTTAACGTTTATTCATTTTAGAGACAGAGAGAGACAGAACATGAATAGGGGAAGGTCAGAGAGAGAGGGAGACACAGAATCGGAAGCAGGCTCCAGGTTCCAAGCTGTCAGCACAGAGCCCGATGCGGGGCTCGAAATCACGGACCGCGAGATCATGACCTGAGCCGAAGTCGGTCGCCCAACCGACTGAGCCACCCAGGCGCCCCGAGGCATCTATATTTTAAATATTTTTAATGTTTGTTTATTTATTTATGAGAGAGAGAGAAAAAGAGACAGAGTGCGAGTGGGGATGGATCAGATAGAGAGGGAGACACAGAATCCGAAGAAGGCTCCAGGCTCTGAGCTGTCCGCACAGAGCCCGACCTTGGGCTTGAACTCACAAGCCACTCACAAGCCGTGAGATGGTAACCCGAGCTACCCAGGGGCCCCGGGAGGCATCTGTATTGCAAGTAATTGGCATCATACAAACTACATTATCTGAAAATAAGATATTGCATTTAGATATGGCTAAATAGTTTAAACAAATATGCTTAGAAACTAAATAGCAACCTGCAAAATAACTCATGGGAGGAAGAGAAAATCATACTTGGAATTGAAAGAAAATGAAAATACTTTGCAGGATACAAATAAATTTACATATATATACTGGCATACCTTGGAGATATTGCAAGTTTGGTTCCAGACCACTGCCATAAAGTGAATAATGACAATAAAACAAACCAAACGAATTTCTTGGTTTCCCAGTACATAACAAAGTTATGTTTATGCAGTAGTCTATTAAGCATGCAATAGCATTAGGTCTAAAAAAGCAACGTACATACTTTAATTTTAAAATATTTTATTGCTAGGGGTGCCTGGGTGGCTCAGTAGGTTGAGTGTCTGACTCTTGATCTCATGGTTCGTGAGTCGGAGCCCCACATCAGGATCCACATTGACATCACAGAGACTGCTTGGGATTCTTTCTCTCCCCTCTCTCTGCCCCTCCTCTGCTTAAGCTTGTGCTCTCCCTCTCACATAAATAACTTATAACTATATGTATACGTATATATATGTATACGTGTATATATATCTGTATCTATATCTATGTTGCTAAAAAATGCTAACCATCATCTGAGCTTTTGGCAAGTCCTATCACTGATCACTATAACAAATAATAATGAAAAAGTTTAAAACATTTCAAGAATTGCCAAAACGTGACAGAGACATAAGTGAGCAAATGGTGTTGGAAAAAGGGCACCAACAGTCTTGCTCAATTCAGGGTTGCCACAGACCTTTAATTTGTAAAAAACACAGTATCAGCAAAAAATAAAGTGAGGTATGCCTGTTTACATACACTTAGAACCTTTCAGCGCATATATTCAGATACTAAAAACATGCATGAAAGAACTGATTCTTCTTTTTTTCACTTAAATTTTGTTTGGTTTGTCTCAACATGTATATTTTCCTTCATTTTTGTTTTGCTTTGGATATTTATATATAAGAATTATCCTTTACTCCAATTTTACCCCAGGTATTAGCTGGGCTCCCCTTTTCTGCTTGGAGGTACAGAGTTGGACACCACCCCTTCCACAGCTTTTGGAGGTCTAAAGACGTCCAAGAATTTTTACTAGTTTTCATGCACACTTACAAAAAAACAGTATTTTTAAAAGTATAATACATAGGAAGGAGTCACAAATACCTTTAGCATACTGCCAGATGAATTTTCACACCCTGGATATCCTGTGAAGCTAGCACCCGTGTCAACAAGCTGATTTTGTCTGGGTACCTCAAAGCCTCCTAGGGCTCTCTTCGGGTCGCTCTCAAAACACCTCTCTGGTTGTGTCCAAGTGTGTCCACTCTGACTTCTCTAGCCCTGATGACTTTTGTAGGCATACTTTATGTCCTTGGTGTATATCCACTCACTTAAC